AGAGCATGCGCTCTATTCGTATAGTTTAACTGAATTAGAGGAAACTAATGATACAATGTGGAGCTTAATGGCGTAGTTGTTTAGCGTGTTTAGCCTGCGATCGTGGAAGTTAAGAAACTGATCGGTCATTGTATAGGTAGGATCAAAAAAACTTATTATCTCGAGCTCCTTCGTGCTTCGAAAAGCACGTTAAGCCGTTGGCCCCGGTAGCATCTGCAGTCATTAGCACCCTCATTTGGATTGGTATCCACATTGGGCCCGCGTGGTGGGTCAATGTCCAATCTCCCTATTCTATCCATAGAGAAAGTCATGATGAATTATACATTATTGGCTAGCAAACTATAGCTAATTAATCTTGCTTAAATAAATCTTCAATGTAGCGTCAATAATCTATAAGAGCGACATTTTAATGTTGCTGCACACTATGATGTATTCGTGATGATATTTGTTTAAAACACCAGTGCACTTACGACGATGGATGCTGCCTGTTAAACTCCAGAGAGCGCAGGATCGCCTCTGGGATGGGCGGGGGCGTGGGGATGTGCGAGCCGGTGGGATGGAAGCCGTTCTCGTCAGCGGTGTAGGAAAGGGAGATCTGCTGGCCATCGGGCGCGCGGTACGAGTACCCGCCTTCCGCCGTCACGGCGGGTCCCTCGGGACCCGGAGCGCGCGGGGACCCGCTCTCGTGAGCTGAGATGCCGTTGCCAGTTTCATAGCTATAAAGAAAAAAGTTGTTTGTAAACAAATCTAATATCATTTTACAATTTGTCATGAAGTTTATGGGATTAACGAAGTCACTAACAAAGAAGTACAAACTATCAATTTTATAAACTTGTAGTTTTTGTCAAATTTTAAAAACTTTCCTGTTCGTTGTGATGAGATCTTAAGAGTATTATTTCAAGGTAAAAATACAAAAATGATTAATAGAATGGTCATGAAACAGAATGCTTGAAGGTTACGATAAATTATTCACTCAGTACCTATGTTGTCACAAATACTCTGTTCATGTAATTTCAAAGCCACCGCGCCCGGCGTATGTCCCACTTAATTACAATCAAGTCATCTGTGAATTGATGTAATTTGTATAAAAAATGGTCGATTAATTAAGGAAGGCTGCATTGCATTTGCTTTTAGATAAATAGAGTCAACACGTAACGATTATTAAAAGTAAGTAATACAAGAATAATGTAAAATAACTTCATAAGGCATATAATTATAAACTTTGCTATTATTATTTTATGCTGAGTCAAAATTTATCGGCAATATTTTGTGTTACTGTAATGTTGTACCATTGTATTCATTAAACAAGTTTTTGGCAACCATTGAAATAAATGCATAGCGTAGCGTCCAATGTTGAACTTGTGGCCTATATATAGATTGTACACAATCTCACCTGTATCTGTAGTTCCCATCGCCATTGTTTACGTTTTCGTAGCGTAGAATAGGTATGTGAGCTCCGTAGTTGTTATTGTTATAGCCGTGATAATGCTCAGCTGCTACGGTCAGCAAAAGAGCACAGCCGGCAAAAATCTAAAATTGTGAGAATTGATAAAAAATTAATAGAAGAAGAACACTATTGAAAGTGTCCGTTTTCTTTTATGTTAACACTGAATATTAAATTTTGGAAATCCTCCGAACTTTAAGTTCTGGTATATTGAGCACCTGCCAACTAAGATATTTATATAATGCGAAAATACTAGAAATTGTAAGTTTTACTCGTAAGCAATTTAATAAAAGTAATTATTCTGCTCGATTGCTTTAAACGATAATAAAAAAAACACACAGCATTGTTACCTTCATAGAAGTCATTTTAGTCAGAAGAAGCTTTCAATTGTTGCAAACAGACTTGCGAGATGCAAAGTTAAGCTCTGAATGATGTGCATAACGTCAGTGATGTTTTTATATTGATATACTTATTGCCCTACCACCGATCACCTTGCCCGACATCGTAGTGGCGCTTGAAGAATCCAGTGCTGTTGTTATAAATTCCTTAAGCGCCTCCCGCCGTTTCGTTGAACTGTCAATGATAACCTGCGATATAATACCGCTTGGGTTCAAGGTCATTCTTGCTGGTCGTATTGCACTGGTGAATTGAAGTGATACTGAAATCTAGCGGAATAAAATATCCCCATTATAGGTAAAGCAAAGAAAAAAAAAAACATATGTATGTATGTGTGTGTATTAAATCGCTGGTTGTTTCTTAAATAAGTTATCATCTGAAATTTAACTTTTACCCGAAAAACATCTATGACTCAGAATGTGGCGTGGTATAATGTTACACTTTTAGCGCTGATCAGAATAAATAATGATCTAATTTGTGAGAATGTCGATCATTTGCGGATTATTTTCTTATCCAGATGCACTAACTCCACTCACTGCAAAGTACTGACTTCAAAGCGCATTGTTAAGGGCAAGATAATTTTCTAAAGTAGCGTTTCATTTTGGGCGGAAAATATGCTTTACATGCCATTAGTTAATAATCGGGACTCCACGTATTTTGGAGTTTATTGTATATCTACATATTATGATCTACCACATATTATACAATTCATGCTTCTATATTAGAAAGTGATTGACGGCGGTAAAGATGCTAGTTCCTCCTGATCCATTACATCTCTCAATCTAGGCAACTGCTCCAAGATGGAATGCGAGGTCGTACGATTCTAGATTTTTTTTCTTTCCTCGATGATCTTTACACTGATATTGCTTCATTTGCTTTAAGTTTTAAATATTACTGTCAATCTTATGATTGTGCAATGTATTGCTAGGTTCGAATAATGTAAGATTAGGTATCACATTTAAAATGATGTGCCTCAGCCAAATAGTCATTCATAGTCACTTCTTACCGCGTATGTTTTAGCTGTGGAACAAACAGCCTGTTGAGGTTTGTTCTCAGGATTATTAAAATTACAACATGAGTTTCTTCAAAAGCAACACAAGTCTATATGCAAAGAAGGCAATGCACGCGTGCTTTCAGGCGGACCACTTGATTGGGGTGGCAATATGTTTTGACGTAGGTACCTAATTGTGTCTGATTAATAACAGAAACTTCTTTTTAGAGTTTGGATAATATATTTTATTAGTATCATCGTTTTTTTACCCGTTTCAAAAATTATTTTGTACCCGTTTCAAATATTATACCCAGCGCATACATATACTCATATAATATAGAATTACACTTGGATAAAATAACTTAAAATTTCAGCTGTTTTAGTGACTTATAATTTAGTAATTTTTGTATGATTTCATCGTCTGACAGACGTTGATAATATTAGAGTACTAAGTAAAATAATCATTTAAAACAATCTTTGCCATTCATTAATAGCTGCAATACCAAATAGGAGCTGGCGAAAAATATTATAAAAAAAAGTGTCATAAACAATATTATCGCTTCTCTCGATAGCCTTAATACATTATATTTAATATATAAAAAAAAATTGCTAGTGGCAGAAGTTTTTCCAGGTGTGGTTTAGAGTAATTATTTTCTAATTGTTATGATATAGAAAAAAATAAATTACTTCATCTGCAAGCAGGCTAGAATAATTATTGAAATTATATTATAAGCATAAAAAAAATACTTCTACCACTATGATATGCAATCTGTATGAGAACCATAACAATGAAAAAGGCAAAAAAAAATCAATTTATGTCTTTTCGAAGGCAGAAGTATTTTACTTCCTGAGGACAGCTGCAAGGGGGTACAATGGAGGTGTGTATTTGTTCGCATGGAAAAGAAAGCTAGAAAGAATAGGTGGTTAAAATCGGGAATGAAGGTCACGGAGAGAAAAAGAGTAATATAGATGCTCCAAAACGTTAGACGCTCTAAACAAAATCAGAGTTGTAGATGTCTGCCACATTTTTCTTACAATTACAAATATTCTATAAAACATAAAAAATATTTCTGAATAGACGATGGAATGAATAGTACTGTTTTTTTAGTTTATTTTTTAAAATAAAAACTCCCAACTACCTGACTTCTGCCAGCTTTAATTTCACTATCTATATAATGCATGAATAGATTATAATTGATGTTAGAAACTAGATAAATTATAATTTATGACATTTTTTTCTTATAATTTCGAAATTACTTAAAAAAATGTCACAGCTACCTCAGTTCGCCACTTATTTTTTCTAGTTAACATAGGTGTAGACTACGTTACGTATTGATATCAACGACGATGAAATCATCTAAATTGCCACCAGCTAGTATATTTATGCAAATACTTTTTTAAGGTTTCATTATAATAAGTATGTATTATGCCATTAAGATCGATTATTTGCCATCTTGCGACAGGTATTTTTGTAAGATCTACATATTTAATGTTTACCAAGGTTAGGTGTTCCATACTGAAGAAAATGATTCTGAGGAGATCAAAACAGGGGAAAATCTGATGTGACAAAGTCAGAGCTATACAGTGGAAGTATTAACGCCTAGAGCCAACTTAATTTTTGCTGGATGGCTAACGATGTATGTGGTCTGGCGTTATCATGATGAAGGATTACACCCTCTCTGTTAATTAACTCGGGTAATTTCTCCAGTGATCTCCGGTGATCTAATTCAATGGTTTTGCCCAGCGGTAAAAGCTTACAACCGTAAATATGTTGTGTTTTTCGTATACCTACTTAGACATTTAGAATGAGTACTATTTTATTGTCAATTCGTATTTTCAGACTCTGTTTTTACATAGTATATAACTTTTGAGTGGTGAGTTTGTTCGTCCAAACCTCCATCGATATGAACGATAATATGTACCTCGTAACCTGCTAGATATAAACATTATAACTAAATATACATGAAATATTACCCTACGAAAAGCCTGATTTCGCTGGTCCAATGGGTCGGAAAAAGTCTTTGTATATTTTGCCAATTTTGTTTACAAGTTATGGACAGTCACATTACTATGATTCTATAAAGTTATGTTTTTGATTTATATTTATCAATTAAAAGGTTTTTAAAGTGTTAGAATTTATATAATTAACTTCTAAACTATCCATAGTAACGACAATTTCCGGAAATACAACACGAGGTAATAATAGTAAAAATGGTGTACTTATGTGGTTTTATTTCCAAATACAACTTTATACAATAAATTATCTTATACCTAACTAACACTCGGGTCCTTTATCATGCCAAATTCTATATGTAATATAGGATCATTTCATTTTTCTCCTAGTAATGGTAGTTGTTGTGTTGCCTGCCACCGTGGTTATAACCGTTGTCTCTGAAAATTAAAATTTTGTATGTTTTATATTAAGGTTAGGGTTTAAGTTAATAAAATAATAAAGAAATAAATGAAAACATTTTAGTATAGAACATTGTAAAATAGAAATATAAATCACCAAAGATTTTTTACCACTACATGGTTTACTATTTATTTATTTATCTCTGATCCTCGACGCATGAAATAATTTTAGAGCTGATTTAAATTTTGATTGCTGTTCTTGTACAAAAGTTTACTTACGAAGACGGATTTTGTCTGTTGTATTGGAGAGAGCGGAGGATTGCCTCAGGGATGGGTGGGGGCGTGGGGATGTGCGAGCCGGTGGGGTGGAAGCCGTTCTCGTCGGCGGTGTAGGAGAGGGAGATCTGCTGGCCGTCGGGCGCGCGGTACGAGAACCCGCCCTCCGCCGTCACCGCGGGGCCCTCGGGGCCCGGAGCACGTGGGGACCCACTCTCGTGCGCTGAGATGCCGTTGCCAGTTTCATAGCTATTTGCAAAAAATACAACAGCAGGTAGTGTAATAAAAATAAAAGTGCATGTTAACAAATCTCATATAATATTAATTAATTCCATTATTAATGTTTTTTAATAATATAAATTATTAATAATTTTTAATTATTATTATTTTTTTTATATATTTTTTATAATATCCTATTTCGTACGAATTAAATTCTCAATGTTAGTAATAAAAAAATATAACATTAATTATTTGTTTTATCATCTAAAAATATTTTTACTAGAAACAACTCGTCTAGTTTCTAATCTTCACTTGATAGATCAGTGAACTAAACAGAGGAATTTTTAGAGATATGGAGATTTGGAATGAAGAAAATGATGTCACTTCTCATTCATACCTGTATCGGTAAGTGCCATCGCCGTTGTTTACATTCTCATACCGAAGAATGGGAATATGAGCGCCCCCGTAATTATTGTAGCCAGAGTTACCGGAATAGCCATGGTTGTAGCCATGATTGTGTTCTGCTGCGACAACAGCCAGAATAGCGCACGTGACCATAATCTTAAAGGAAAAAATAAAAAGTGTAAACAAAATCATAAAAAGTAAACTCAAAATTTGTAATTCCATCTGGGAATACAGGTTTTTAGATGTTTTTTTGAATAATAGGTCTTTTTAGAAATTATAAAAATAAATAGATAAAAAATAAAGTAAACTATTTCGCGATAGCGATCATAGGTAGAGCTCCTCACAAAAACGAAAACTTTTCAACAAAAATAAAAAAAAAAACTTTTAGAAAGCAGGTATTACACCCTACCAGTTTTGAACACATTTTAAAAGTAATAATTTTCCAAATTACTGTTTAAAATAACTGAACCACGACTGTTACAAGTCGATCACCGAATGATGTTTGTTCCATCTGCCGTCTTTTTATATCGTTATAATTTGGGCTGCCTTACCATGGCATTTCATCTTGTGTCGATATCAGTCATGGCGCGTGTAGGATTTCGCATACCTGCTGCACCTCCCGCTGTTTCGATGATTGTTATTGTAAAAAGAACTATTGTTAACCAAAAATAATGCCGACCTTTTTACTCGTTCCCCAGATTGAAATGTTGCCTTTGTGTGATTTATTGTACGAATAAGTACACACCAATTAAAAACATACGGTTATACTTCCAAAAGTTAGACACGGTTTTAAAACATGTCCAGGCAAATTTTGTATGTTTTTTTATAATACATGACTAACTTTTTTGTGGTAATAAGGAAAGATTCACGTTCTATAAGAAACTGTATTCCTAAGTGTGATGGACAGTTATGTAATGCATCGTTCGTAGTTATCATAACTTCATTTATCACTTTATTTGAATTTGTAATGAAATTTAGATTCTAGTTTTGTGACTTCTTTTCTTCCTTTTGCCGTTTTTAATATACCTAGAGCAAAAAACGGCAAAAATACATGTTTGTTGTATGGAAGCCCCTTTGATTATTAGGGAAGCCCTTAAATATTTATTTGTTTTTAGTTTGTTTGTTAAAATAGCGGCAATAAAAACACATTATCTGTAAAAAATAACTGTCTAGCTATCACGGTTCATGAGATACCTATTCATGAGAGCCTAGTGACAGATAGACAGATGGACAGTGGATTCTTAGTAATTGGGTCCCGATTATACCCTTTGGTTACTGAATCCTAATTACAAGTTGTATAGGGCGCTTGGGATCGATATTGTATTAGTAATTTTACATAGATACTTATGTATTGGTTACAGTTGCACGCTAGCCAACTTTTTCAGGTCGATGGCACAAGTGGCTAGAGCGTACGGTCTATGATCGTGGAAGATAAGTAACTTTCGCAATGGTCGGTCATCAGATCGGTGATCAAAAACTCATTATATCGAGTTCCTCTATGCTTTGGAAAACACGTCAAGCCGTTGTTCAAAGCATCATCTCCAGTCGTTAGCACCCATCTATACTGCGCTGCGTGCTGATGCCATCCATAAGAAAGGCCTGTGCCCTAGCAGTGGAGGATATTAATAGGCTAATGATAATGATGATTTTTTCATATCAGATTGGCGAAATGACATAATTGCGCAGGAAAACAAAACAGTAAACCACTAAAGCAGAGCTCTATGGAACCTAAAAAAACTTTACGCTGAATTTTTGGCCCGAGTGCGAAAAACGTTTTTGGATAGTGTGAGAAAAGTGCTGTTGTTTTGTGTTACAACCATCTACTTAACTATAAAAATAGTTTATTTTTATGAAAGGCTCATCGAATAGCCCCTCCGCATCTGATGTTAAGTGCAAGTTGAGTCGAGTTGTGAAGATAACTTCAAGCGGCAGAAAAGTAAGCCCCTCTAACCCCCCTTTTTAGCTTGTTACCCACCCTGAAGCCCTGTAACCTTATTTACGAACAGAAACACAACACCACCGGTAAGTGTTATTGTAATGTAGTATATGGATAAGTTGGAGGCTAATTCCCTTATTTCTATACCGTAGGGAAAACGCGTGATGCATACCCTGCCGCCTGACGAGCAGCGAGGTTATGTAGGACCCTCCTCCATGGATATACCCAACGGTAATCCATTTAATGTGCACCCTACTAAAACCCCACGACGCATTCTCAGTTGAGTGTGGTACCCGAGAAACCGAGAACCGAGTCACCGCCACCGTCAGCCACCCACTCCCTGTAACCTTCTGGTCTGCTCTCTTTGGCGCGCGATATTCTCCCTAAAAAAGGCAAATTTAAAAAATCAAAAAACCCGACTGCTTAATTACACTTGAAATAAAAATTGAAGAGAAAAAAACAAGTCCAGTAGTCTATAATTCTGTTAATAAGGAACAAAGCTACTTTAACAGTCGGGACCCATTAGATATTCAAGAATACATAATATTTTTCAACAGTGGGTCCCGACTGTTAAAGTAGCTTTGTTCCTTATTAACAGAATTATAGACTACTGGACTTGTTTTTTTTCTTTTCAGTTTTTATTTGAAGTGTAATTAAGCAGTCGGGTTTTTTGATTTTTTAAATTTACTTTTTTTATTTCACACTTTTTAGTTAGTTAGTATTTTAAGACGGTATATACCTTCTTGTTACTTCAGTAAGGGAATTAATATTGCGGGAATTATTAAGTACCTTGCGTCGGTCTAAAAGATTGATTTATTAAGACATATAGAGACGCGGGGTCAAGGCTACAGATGGGCCTCAATTTTCGCAAAAATGTGTGAAGTTAAATCAAGTCGTTACATAAATATCTGTAATGTATGTAAATTTTATAGTAAACTAGCACTTACTCAAAAAGTCATCTTTTGATTATGTTCTTTTTAATAGTTTAGCAGTAAATATAAAATTCATTTACTTTTATTCGTCGACTATTTAAAATTGGCAGTGGCTGCATTGTCATGACAATGCCGGACGTCTAAGATTGTGATATACACAAATGCAGTGTCAGTCCCTAGTCTCATAATTTGATATACCTACATAATTCACAGAAACCCAATATGTAGATGCCAGAAGTTAACTTCAAATGTTTTTAATCACCCTATATACAATACCAATCAATGACGTTTATGTCACAGGTTGAAGAAAGCAGTAATTCCCGTTTGTTGTTTTGACAATGGTGGCAACTGCCTTAGATCACTAAATTAAATAATTATGCAATCACCAAAGCAAAGTTTATAATATTTGATTAAACTAAAGGCGCATAATAAAATTTTCATAACGTTAGGTACAGCACCATAGCAATCTCATTTATTATCAATTTATAGTTCTCTTTGTAATTTTCTTTTAAAGCGTTCACATTTAACAGGTCAAAGACTTTATGTTCAACCCTTTTTTATTGGTAGTGTAAAGCTCGAATGAAGAGTACTCCCAGTAGTGCAATCATGGCAATTATTTTCCAATTTTTTTTTGTTATAAAAATACCGAATAACGTATCACTGTTAAGCACAAATGCTAAGTAACTTTTACAAATATAATCAAATAAACCTATTACTTACTTTATTTTTAAATATTTTTCATCAATTAAATACTTATCTTATCCTAACTATCTATACTAATATTATAAAGAGGCAAGATTTGTATGTTTGTAACAAATAATCTGTCAAACTACTAAACCGGTTTCAAATATTAATTTATCATAAGGTAGCTACATTATTTATTATAACATTTTTCTTTATTTAAATACATTTTGTCCGAGTGACATAGGCTATATTTTATCCCGATAAATAAATTTCGCCCGTACAATGCCCGAGTGGATCACTAGTAAGTATAATATAATATTATAGATGCGAAAGTGAGTTTCTTCGTTGCGCTTCCGTGCCCTAATAGCTAAATCGAATATAATGAATTCCCATATAGAAGTAGATGGGAACTTGGTTCTTACTTATAGGCGTAGGGTGATGAAAGGGGTGATTTACCTATAAAAATCTACATTATTTACTTTGAATTTTGCAGAATAATTACAAAACCAATATTATCGCGAGCTAATTAATAAATACAGGGATTCCAATAAGTAGTACTATAGTACTTACTAGCGAAAAATGGGTTATTTGTCATTATATTAAGTAAACCTTTTTTGTAACATTAAGTAATATCGTTAAAAAAAATGAAAAACAGTAAAATTCTGAGTTTTTCATTAAAATTCAATAATCATAAATACCTATTATGATAATATATTTTTCATCATTTAATAAGAAGGAACTGTATCACAGTTTTATTGTTAGTACTTCGTATAGGATCAGATACTGCGAATACCCCATTTTTTTTCATTTACATAGTACACCGCGCTATCACTTTGTCATCGTTGTAACTTTTTAAATATTTGTCGAAATGACATAGTGTAAAAAGCAAAGTTTATCGTCTCAAAAGCGATAGAAGTATTTGTTTTGATAAAAAAATATTTGTTAATACAAAATGTGCATTTTGGAAATAGATATCAAATAATATTTTAGTTTTGATTCACTATTTTAGCGGTAACGACTTATACATTAAAAATAGATATATGTGTGTCACGGACTTTTTTTTTAGAACTATTTAAGAGATACATTTTCACTCTACATTACATTCATGTAACTTTTATTGTTTTTGCAGTGCAGGCCAAAATGGCTCGCAAATGGGAGATTTTTTTCCGTCTTATGTGACACTTATTGTTATATATTGGCCAATTCACTCAATAACTACATAAATTATTATATATATATCGACTCATCCGTAGAACAGAGTCCGATATGCAGAATTGATAGTTTTCAGTAGAGGAGTTAGAAGTTCTTGACTTGTGTAACTCTTAAACGGCAAGAATTGACATTTCGATTTTTTGGCATGTTGTTTAATAACATATATAATGATATAATATTTCTATATTCTTTAAGAATACACATTACCATTTTAAGAAGATATAACAATAAAATACAACTAACATTAACAATTGAAAAAAAAAAAAAAAAAAAAAAAAAACCATATGACATGCAGGCTCAGGTCACTTAAAATATTAATTTCTAAGCCATTTTAATTTACTGACGGCGCAAACCTGCATATAAAAGTAAATCAAGTTGTTTTTCATATGTGTGCATGGGGATTTTATTGTTGTTCCACCACAGTGCCTGTTCAGTGGTTAAAAATTTCTGATCCGCTTGTGATAATTTGAAGACGCGGTTGCTAAGGCCGCCATCGGTTGTCCTAGCGACGACATGCGTCGCTAGGTCTCTCTCTTTCACTGTGTCCAATCCAAGACCATCCTGTGACGCACCTATGTAACGGCGCATGCGTTATTTATCACAACAAGCAGCTGTCATATTTGTCTTTGACTTTTTTATATTTTCAGTGCACTTTTCAAGTTATTTTATTGTGTTTTTTAATTTTGTTTTAAGTTATTCTTTTTTGTGAATATATTTAAGTTTTGTGAATGCAGTCCGCGACCCAATCTAGTGATGGCACGTCGAACACGACCCGTACATGTACACAGTGCTACAAATCATTCAAATCTTTGAAAGACCTCAAAATACACACTACAAAAATACACAGGAAATGTATTAGCCAAAATAGTTCACCTTTAGACATCCATCCCATTATTCCGAGTGGGCCTAC